GGTATATGATATACATCCAACTATATATTGTTATAATGATGGCTTTAAATAATCTTATCCTTTAAGGCAATTAAGAGTTGAAATACATAAACATATTTTAAAATTTACCAACATACTATTTCTGCTGATCTATTCCTTCTCATGTATATGCATTACCATCTACCATCATTTGCATTTAACTTGAAGAATATTTTTGGATAGCAGGTCTACTAAGTAGAAATTTTCTTAAGTTTTGTGTTTGTCCTGGCGTCTTTATGCACCCTCTTTTCCTTTTTAGAGATTTGTTTATTTATTTGAGAGAGAGGGAGAAGGAGCAAGTGTGAATGTGGGAGGGCAGAGCGAGAGGGAGAAAAATCCTCAAGCAGAGTTCCCACTGAGTAAGGAGCTTATCATGGAACTCAATCCCAGGACCCTGATATCATGATCTGAGCCAAAAATCACAAGACCCACACTCAAGGTGCCTCTATGCACCTTCTTTTTTGAAAGACAGTTTTGCTGAATTTACAATTCATATCTGAAAAGTCTTTTTCTTTTTGTTTGTTTGTTTGTTTGTTTGGGGGTTTTGTGTGGGAGAGAAGTTGTTTTGTTTCTTCTTCTTTTCAGTATTTCAGCTCCTGATTTGACCTTCCTTTTCTCTTATTCCTCATTGTTACTGGTGAGAATTCATCTGTTTATCATATTGTTATTTTCCTAAATATAAGAATTAGTTTTCTCCTCCTGTTGTCAAGATCACCTCTTTTTGTATATTCGCCTTTTATTTTATTTTTTAAGTTATAGCAAAAAAAACCCCACATAATATAAAATTTACCACATTATTCATGTTAAAAAATATGCTGCTTTCTTAGTGCAATTTTAGGTTCACAGGAAATCAGAGATTTCCTGTATTCTCAGAGCACAGAGATTTCCTGTATTCTCCTACCGTCTTCAATTCTATACACCCACAGTGGGTAGACTTTCTCATTTTTAGTATCCCTCAGTGGAGTGGTTCATTTGCTACAGTTAATAAAAAATATATTGACACATCTTTATCATGCAAAGGCCATAGTGTACTTTGAGGTTTCCTCTTGGTATTGTGCATTTTATGAGTTTGAAGAAATATGTACTAACAAGTATCAACCATTATGAAGTTATACAGAATAGTTTTGTTGTCTTAAAATCCTCTGTGCTCCACCTATCCATCCTACCTTCCCCACGAAACACCATTAACCACTGATCTTTTCAATGTCTCCAGAGTTTTGTTTTTTTCCAGACTGTCATACGGTGGGAAACAAACACTCTCTCACATCTTACATTACACTTACTATACCTCACATTTTCACCAATTTTAAGCACACAGTTTAGGAGCAATAAGTATATTCACATTGTTGCCTAACAGATCTCTAGAACTTTCACCTTGTCAAACTGGACCTCTCTACTCATTAAACAATAATTTCCCCTTCTGTACTTTACCCTCAACCACCATTCTTCTTTCTGTTTCTCTCAGCTTGACTACTCAAGATACTTCATATAAGTGTAATCATGTATCTTGTGTGTGTGTATGTGTGTGAGAGAGAGAGAGAGAAAGAGAGGGAGAGAGGGAGACTGGCTTATTTCACTGAACATAACAGCCTGCAGTTTAACCCATGTGATAGGATTTCCTTCCTTTTTAAGGTTGAATATTATTGTGTTGTTATGTTTGTCCTATGTTTTCTTGATTCCTGCCTCCCTCAGTGGGCACGTGGCCTGCTTCTACCACTTGGCTTTTATGAATAATACTGCAGTGAGCATGGGTGCCCAGAGAGCTCTTTGAGATATTGCTTCCAATTCTTTTAGATATTTTCCTACATGTGGGATTGCTGATTCATATGGTAATTCTATTTTAATTTCTTCAAGAAGTTCCATACTCTTCTTCATAATGGCTGACCAGTTTGTACTCCCAACAGTGTAAAAGTGTCCTCTTTTTCCACCTTCTCAATGACACTTTTTTTCTTTGATAGTATCCATCCTATGGAGTATGAAGAAATATCTCATTGTGGTTTTTATTTGCATTTATCTGATCATTAGGGATACTGAGCATCTTTTCATAAGGCTTTTCACCTTTTATTTTCTTGGGCAAAATGCTTATTTAATTCTTTTGCCCATTTTTTAATTGAGTTATTTGGTTTTGTTGTTGTTACTAACCTGTAGGATTCCTTATATATTTTGGATGTGAACCCCTTGTCTTATGTATGATTTGTAAGCATTTTTCCCCATTCCGTCTTTTCATTGTGTTGATCATGCCCTTTGATGCACAAAAATGTTTTGATGTTCTACATTTGCCTATAGTGAACTTTTCCTTTGTGGTCTGTGATTTTGGTGATGTACCCAAGAAATCATTGCCAAATATGATGTTTACTTTTCTCTATGATCTCTTCAAGAAATATCATAGTTTTACATCTTAGGATTAGGTCTTCAGTCCATTTCGGGTCAACTTGTGTACATAGTGTAAATGGTAACCTCCACCTTCATTCTTTTGCATGTGGATAGTCAATTTCCCATCATCATTTATGAAAGATTCCATCCTTTCCCTATTGAATGGACTTGGCATCCTTATCAAAACGAATATACATGAACTATGTGTCTGGGTGTATTTTGAAGTTTGGTTCCATAGAAGATGTAGGACCTGGGGCTTTGTGTTTCTTTGGATGAGTTTACCCCCTCCTGTCTGAAATAGTGTGCAGGGCAGATATGGATTCTCTAGTAGATGATGTGGTCTAAGGCTGTGGGAGGTGGAGGATATTATCACCCATTCCCTGATGTTCACACTGACTTATGTCATCTCATAATCCACCCTGTTCCCTCAAGAGCATTTCTTTGTGTTTGTAAATGATTTTTGGTGGTATCATTATGACATCTTGAGATGTGGATTTGTATGTAATCATCCTATTAGTTTTCTAGCCTGTGGTTTCCATAAATATTTTTAAAATGGTATTTTAATAAGTTGTTTGTTCATTGTGACTTAAGATTGTTGTTCTGCTTTTTTCTGCTTCTGTGGTTCTCAGTTTGTACTCAGATCTATGCTGTATTTCCTGAAGCTCTTTTGAAGATCTATGAACTCTATTAATTTTTCTCTCTTATCCTATAGGATGAATAAATTCTGTTACCCCTTCCTCAATTTCACCAACTTTCTCTTCTGCATATCACATATTCTGTAGAGCTAATAAGTGAACTTTTCATTTCAAGTATGTATTCATAAACTCAGAATTTTCTGGGATTTATTCATATATTTTTATTATTCTATTGATACTTCCTACTCTTATATTGATGCCATCATATGTTCACTTAATTATTTGAACATTGTTTCTTTATAATTTACATATAATTGTAAATATTACTTAAAAATATTTTTTCAAGATTTTATTTATTATTTGACAGAGAGAGAGGAAAGAGAGAGAGAACACAAGCAGGGGGAGTGGCAGGCAGAAGGAGAAGCAGGCTCCCTGTAGAGCAGGGGAAGCCTGATATGGAACTCAGTCACAGGACTGAGTCTCAGATCCTGACCTGAGCTGAAGGCAGTGGCTTAACCAACTGAGCCACCCAGGCGCCCCTAAAATACTTTTTTTCTAATAAATGTAACATCTTATCCCAGTAGAAATTTCTGTTGGCCTATGCTTTCTCTTAGCATGGAAGATATTTTCACGTTTTTTTTTATGTATTAATTCCTTTTAAAGATATATTTATCTTATTTTAGAGACAGAGCAAGAGAGATAGAGAGAGTGCAAATAGGGGGAGGAGCAGAGGGAGAGGGACAGAGAAAAACCCCAGTACATTCCACGCTAAGCATGGAACTTGATGTGGGGATTGATCCCAGGACCCTGAGATCACGACCTGAGCCAAAATCAAGAGTTAGTTGCTTAACCAACTAAGCCACCCAGCTGCCCCATTTTTTAATTTTTTTGAAAGACATTTTTGATAATGTAGCTTAGTGAACATTAATTCTATTTCATTTTTCTTAGATTTATTATTTTCTTGTAAGTTGCATAAACTTTACTACAGAATCTTATCTAAAGTTGGTCTCCTGATATTTTTGTTCAGTCTTTCCAAATTCATCTTGTTTATTTTTATTTTTTAACCTATCTTCCTGGGTATGATCCTTGTGACTTTTTAGCTTAGATGTCAACCACTATTTTTTTTTTTTTAAAGACTGTGTTCAAATGCCACAAGTCAGTAGGGCTTCCACCCTCTCTCAGGTGATGTGTGTGTGTGTGTATGTGTGTGTGCACGCACATGCACACATGAGTGTGGAGAGTCCTCATAACTTTATAGCTGTTCTTAAGTCTTCTTCACCTTTACTTTCTACTAGGATCATTTTGGTCTCCTCTCCCCAAGCACGTATTTTCCATCAGCCAGGAGTGTGTAGAGAGCTCATGTTATCTCTTCAGTCAGACTTTCCTTTACCGTACTTTCCCATTATATTTATGGGAGGGGGGTCACAGTGCTGGACACAAAGCCACAACCTTAGACTAGTAAAAGTATATATTTTTCTCATTCATTACCAAGCAAAATAATCACGTTGAGCTGAAAAGTCAATGGGCTCTCTCACTCTCTTCCCTACTGCTAATCAAGTCTCCGCTGTGGCACCAACACCATTGCTTTCTGCAGCTTCTCCAAACTGTAAAAACTAAAATTCGTCTTGATCACTGAGCTGGGGTGGGCTGGTGGGGAGCCACAAAGCAATCCCAGAGAACAATAATCCTAAGCAACAAATATGATGCTTCTTACTTGAATCTCTAGGGTTTTATCCACTGTAAATATTTCATGAATTATTGAGCTTTTATCAATTTTCAGAACCCTGAAATTGTTATCTTTGTAATTTTGTTGTCTTCCCTTACTCCTACTTATAAGGTAGTTTTGTAACATGTCTACTGTGTAACATTAAAATTTGAAAGATTCTATAAAGCAAGAATTAACTTTGTTACTACAAAATTCAAATGAATATAAGAGCTTCTATTTGACTTCTAATAAAATTTGTTTTCTCACAGCATTTGTTAGGCCTCTTAATTTCTTCTTCATGGCTTGGAGTCTCCCAGACAAGCAATAATAATCCATCTGTGCAGCCAAAACCCTCAACTTTCTCTTCCAAAACGTAAGTTTCTTAAGAACTTTCGTATTTTGTGCCTTAAAAGAATTAATCTTACAATGAAAAACAGCAATATGTGAACAATTATATAAACACAATTGTTGAAGTGTTTTCATGGTAAATTATATGGGAAATATTCTGATTGAGGTATATAACTATTACTTGAAATAAATTGTTAATTCATCGAAATATTATGGTATATAAGGTATATATTGGTAAGATTAATGAGGTATAATTCTCTGTATTTTAGGTTGGCAGTATCATCAGAGAGTGACCGGGCTTGTCCATATTTCAATTTTGGATTGGAGAAAGTTTTTTTTACATCTTGTTTAAAAATTAAAACATACACTTGTAAGCACCAGGCATTTTAGTTACCTAATTTTGGTATAATGCTATCCCACCATATATAAAGAACATGTTTCTCATTTCTCCAAAAGCCATGCAATTATTGTCTCAGAATATTTTTCAGATATAAGTTTTAGAGAAGTTTTATGTTCACAACAAAATTAAGAGGAAGTTACAGAGTTTTCCTCTATTGCCCCTGTCCACACACCTGCCTCTCCCCCATTATCAACATCCCTCACTAGAATGGTTCTTTTGTGACCAAAAATGAATCTACATCAATGTGTCATAATCATCCAAAATTTAGTTTATACATGAGATTTCACCCTTGGTGTTGTTGGACTGTTTTTCAAGATTTATTTATATTAAAGTAAAAAATATATATACTCAGGTACATATTATACATTTCTTAAGCTTTTGCTATTCACTAAAATAAATAAATATATATATATATATATATAATCATAATATTATTGTAAAGTTCCCAATAAAGTGAATTGTACTCATATTTCCAAATAAATTGGTTTGTCCTCACCCTTATAGGGACTGCAAATGAGGGCTAAACAACCAGAGTGGCAATGGAATCAGTCAGAATTTAATCAGGGGAAGATGGATGCAAACAATTATTACCTATTTGTAAGGGAAAGCCTATTAAGAAGAAAGGCTACTAAGATAAAAGAAATCATAAAGAATTTCTTAATGTCGAAGGAGAGTACCCAAAGGAGAGATCACTGTGAAATCAGGTCTACTCTGAAGATGGAATTTAGATGTCATTGAAGACAAGGAGGATACTCACATTTATGGCAGACATGCTCACTGTGTTGACCTGGGACAGAGCAGCTCCACAGTCCACAGGCTGAAATTGGTGAGAATGGATCTCAGGCTGTGACTGGCAGGCAGGAAGAACCCCTGTTAGGAGGGACAGAGCAGAGGGCAGGAAGCTTTGACTGGGACTGGCCACAAGTACTTGCTGGAGGCTGAATACACAGGACCTCCCCCCATGAATGCAGCTGGCAACCAAGCTATAATGGCCACACACCCTGGAAACACCATGAAATCAGGAAGAAGAGCCCTTTCTCTTGCAGGGTCTCTCGATTGTCTTTTATCAGAAAAATTCAACCTCATGGGAGTTAACAAGGGAGAGTTTATAGGATCCTGCTCCATTATCTGAGAACAGGGCACAGAGGAATGGGTAGATTTGAAGCCAAGAGTACTGAATTGTTAAAAGGCACTCAGGGTTATCAGGCAACAACCACAGGGTTACTATATAAGAGCCGTTCACATCTGTCCCACATCCTCACAGAATGGAATGAATGGGTATCTTCTGAATCTTTTTTAGTAGAGCACTACCAAATTAGGTTTATTTATGGTAGAGATTGGTTTCTTCTCAATCATTAATAATCAATGTCCTTCACTACTTTTTCTTGTGTGTTATTTTCCTTACCTGGATTTCAGATATTTTAAAAGACACCCTACTTTATTAAATTCCCCAAGTCCCCACTTCTGTCACCCTTACCCAGGCTAGAAAATACTTTGATGCAAAAATAAAATGTTAAATGTTGAAGAAAACAAGAATAAAAGTATAAAGATTCTGTGTAAGTCAAACAACTAGTTGTTGCCAGAATTCATGACAAGCCTTAGGAATTTGATAATGATTCAGACATTTCTACCTCTGTTCAATTACAGAGGGAGAGAGATTGAACATAGTTATTACTTGCAAAATAAATCCGTATTTTATATATATTTATCTCTTTGAATATAGACATATTCTTTTTACACATATTCTTTTTTTATTACTAAAGTCCAGAGTTTATTTAGATTTCTATAGTTTTTGCCTATTGTCCTTTCTCTGAACCAGAATTCCATTCAGGATACCACATTATTACATTGAGTTGTCATGTCTCTGGACTAAAGTCCAGAGTTTATTTAGATTTCTGTAGTTTTTACCTATTGTCCTTCCTCTGAATCAGAATTCCATTCAGGATACCACATTATTACATTGAGTTGTCATGTCTCCCTAGGCTTTTCTTTCTATGGCAGTTTTTCAGACTTCCCTGGTTTGATGATTTTTTTCTTTTTTTTTTTTTGTCATTGATTTTTTTTTTATTAAGTATCATATAGTAAGTACATCATTAATTTTGGATGTAGTGTTCAATGATTCATTAGTTGCTTGTCATTGATTCCCCCCTTTTTTTCTAAATTATGTTCAGTTAGCCAGTGTATAGTACATAATTTGTCCTTGATTCAGTGTTCAGTGATTCATTAGTTAAGTATAACACCCAATGCTCATCACAGCATGTGCCCTCCTCAATACCCATCTCCCTGTTATCCCTTCCCTCACCTTCCTCCCCTCTGAAACTCCCAGATTTTTTCTTAGGTTTCATAGTCTCTCATGGTTCATCTCCCTCTCTGATTTCTCCTCCTTTGGATTTCCCTCCCTTCCCCTGTGGGCCTCCATGCTATCGCTTATGTTCCACATATGAGTGAAACTATAATTGTCTTTCTCTGTTTGGCTCACTTTACTTAACATAATCCCCTCCAATTCCATTCATGTTGATGCAAACAGTGGGTATCCATAATTTCTGATGGCTGAATAATATTCCATTGTGTATATGTATTACATCTTCTTTATCCATTAATCTGTTGAAGGATATCTCCGCTCCTTCCACAGTTTGGCTATTGTTGACATTGCTGCTATGAAAATTGGGGTGCACATGCCCCCTTCTTTTCACTATGTCTGTATCTTTGAGGTAAATACCCAGTAGTGTAATTGTTGGGTCATAGTGTAGCTCTATTGTTAACATCTTGAGGAACTTCCATACTGTTTTCCGGTGTTGTACCAACTTGTTTTCTCATCAATAGTGTAAGACGGTTTCTGTTTCTTCTCATCCTCACCAACTTTTGTTGTTTCCTGCTTTGTTAATTTTTGCCATTCTAACTGGTATAAGGTGGTTATCTCAGTGTGGTTTTGATTTGCATTTCCCTAATGGCTAATGATTTTGGATATTTTTTCATGTGTCTGTTAGCCATTTTTATGCCTATTTTTGAGAAGTGTCTGTTTGTGACCTCTCATTTTTTGACTGGATGACCACTTTCACCACTATTATTCAACATCGTACTAGAAGTCCTAGCAACAACATTCAGAAAAGAAAAGGAAATAAAAGTCTCTAAATTGGCAAAGAAGAAGTCAAACTCTCCCTCTTCACAGATGACATCATACTTTATGTGGAAAACCCAAAAGATTCCACTCCAAATTACTAGAATTCATAGTGCAATTCAGCAATGTGGCAACATACAAAATCAGTGCACAACAGTGAGTAGCTTTCTTATACACTAACAATGAAACTGTAGAAAGATAAAATAAAGAATCAATTCCAGTCACAATAGCAACACAAACCATAAGGTACCTGGGAATAAACCTAACTAAAGAGGTTAAGGACCTATACTCTAGAAACCACAGAACAATTATGAAAGAAATTGAGGAAGACATAAAAAGATGGAAAGATATTCCATGCTCATGGATTGGAAGAATAAACATTGTTAAAATGTCTATCCTTCCCAGAACTATTGATGCTTTCAATGCCATCCCTGTTAAACTACTATTGCCAGTTTTTTAAAAAGCTGGAACAAAAAATCCTAAAATTTATATGGAACCAGAAAAGGCCCTGAGTTGCCAAGGGAAGGATGAAAAAGAAAAACAAAGGTGATGGAGACATCACCTTGCCTGACTTCAAGCTATCTTACAAAGCTGTGATCACCAAGACAGCATGGCATTGGCACAAAAACACACACATAGACCAAGAGAACAGAATAGAGACTCCAAAATGGACCCTCAATACTATGGTCAAATAATCTTTGATAAATCAGGAAAAAATATCCAATGGAAAAATGATAATCTCTTCAATAAATGGTGCTGGGAAAGTTCATCAGCTATATACAGAAGAATGAAACTGGACGGTACCTTTATACCATACACAAAGATAAACTCAAAATGGATGAAAGACCTCAATGTGAGGCAGGAATCCATCAAAATCCTAGAGAAGAACATAGGAAGTTACCTCTTTGACATCGCCACAGTAACTTCTTTCAAGACATGTCTCCAAAGACAAGTAAAACAAAAGCAAAAATGAGCTTTGGGACTCCATCAAGATAAAAAGCTTATGCACAACAAAGGAAATAGTGAACAAAACTAAGAGGCAGCCCACAGAATGGGAGAAGATATTTGCATATGACATTACAGATAAAGGGCTAATATCCAAGATCTATAAAGAACTTCTCAAACTCAACACTCAAAAAATGAATGATACACATTCTTTTTAAAAGATTATTTATTTATTTAGAAGAAAGAGAGAAAGAGAAAACAAGCAGGGAGAGCAGCAACTAGAGGGAACAGAAAAAGCAGTCTCCATACTGAGCAGAGAGCTTGATATGGGGCTGGATTCCAGGATGATGGGATCATGACCTGAGCTGAAGGCAGAAGCTTAACTGACTGTCACACAGGTGTCCCTGCACATATTCTTTATATTCTTTGTAGTGATTTCTTATACTTTGATAGAGAAATGATATGAATATTCAAAATCAAATCCATACAATATGTAAATGGGAGCTGTACTTAATTGGTAAGCTTGTGCTACGAACAGCCCAAGACTGTACAGTCTTTGAAAAATAAGCATTTATTTCTCATCAACAGTTTGTGCTTCGGTAGGTTTTAGTTGATCGAGGCTTGGCATGGGCTTGATTCCAGACTACAGATTCAGCTCAGATCTTTTTGATATATTTTATTCTTAGAAGATCAGGATACCTGCTATATGACATTTTATAACAGAGATTAGCAGCTAGGAGAAATGTGCTCCTTAATGCCTGGACTCTGATCTCATAAGCTATCACATTCCCACTCATTATTTTGTGAAAACAGGTCACATGGCTGAATCTGTCATTGGATTTCTTCAAGGTATACTCTTTTTAAAGTGGTCAGATGGTAGAAATATAGTTTTATTGAACAACAACCTAATCTACCATAATAGCTATAAGATTATTCTTCTCATTATTATTTCATGAAATAGAGAAGTTTGTGAAAGAAAAATATTAGGAAAT